AACACAGCGCCCGCCTCTCTGGCTAGACTCCCTGCCCCCCCCCTCACCACCCCGCCCCCCGCTCTTTGTCCAAGACCTACTTCTGCTTCTAGGGCCACTTCAAATGCCACCGTCTCCATGATTTCCCCAGTCTCTCCATCTCCGACGCATCACTGCTTATATCTGAATCTCTCCTACGACAGCTATCACTTTATTACTTGAATTGTTAGCTATTTATCTCCCTGTTTTATCTCCCCTTTCTCTCCTTTCATCCCACAAATATTTATTGTCCTTCTCGAAATGTCGAGTCGGTTCTGGGGTTACTAAGATGAAGGAGCTTACGGGTGGGTGGGAGAGGGGGTGGGCTGTGTGCTCCATGGAGGCAGGGGCTACCCTCGGGGTACCGTGCCCGCCCTCCTCACCCCCCCCCCCGGCTCTGAGCCCCCAGCACTGTGCCTCCCATGCCGCAAATGCTCAATATGCCCTGTTGAGTGAATACGTGAACGGCTGCATCTCAAAGTAATAAAGGAAGTAGCGTTTCTTTCCACATCTTCGATCCTCAAGGCTCCCTTTTTCATTTACTTGATTTTTCCCACATCTCCCTCCCCTGATCAGTAAGAATTAGGAAGGCATCACGGTGCTCCCACATTCTCCACGAACCCCCTCGGCTCCACCCCACCCAGCTGTTCCCAAGCTCAGTCAGCTTTGGGGGGACAGGCATGGAAATCAGACCCCAGTGGGCTGGTTCTCTGGCCCCCTCTTGGGTTTGCCTCCTGGCCCTGCCAGCCCAGGTGGGCTTCCAGCTCCCCTCGCCAGCTTCACTCGGAGTTGGAAACGGAGTCCTAAGGCCTGTGGAGAAACCTATCTCCCCCACCTCCCCAGGCTCCTCCTCCGAGGGCTTTGTCCTGCCCTCGCACCTCCAACCCACCCTCCACTCAGCAACCTGGGTGAACTTTACAAAGCACGTATCACAGTGGCTTCCAGGACGCTGAGAATAAACGTCAATTTACTTCCTGAACTCTGGCCAAGCAGCTCCTAGATCCGGCCAGCTCTTTCTCACCTCAGGACCTTTGCACTTGCTGTGCCTTCTACCTGGAATGCCCTTCCTACCCCCAGCGCTGTCTGGATGGCTTCTTTTAAGCCCATAGATTTTTGTTTAAATGTCTCTTCTAGGAGAAGCCTTGTAGTCCTCCTCCCCATTATTCTTCATTCTCTATTACACGACCTTATGTCCTTCAACACACTCGTCACCAATTGTAAATATTTTTCTTGTTATTCTAAACATATTTCTATAGTCTGTCCCTACTCACCTGCTACATCATAAACCTCACGAGAGCAGGTCTGATTACGTCTTGTTCGCTAGTTTATTTCCAGCACCATCTCTGACATATAGCAATTGCTCAATTCCCTGTGATGAATGAATGATGCAAATGTTGGGGGAAGGCTCAGAGGCCTGACTTGCTCCTTCCTAATTCATCCAACGCCACAGCTTCCACCACTAACTCATCCACCCCTCAAATATTTTCAAATCATTCACAGCATACATGGTGTGTGTGTGTGTGTGTGTGTGTGTGTGTTGTGTGTGTGTGTGTGTGTGTGGTGGGGGAGGGAGGGAGGTGTGCTAGGCTGAGGACTGGGGAGATAGTGGTGAAGACATCAGACCCAATCCTTGTCCTCATGGGACTTCTGGTCTTGTTGGGGAGGCAGACTCTGAATCCCTAGTGCCTGGGCAGTAAGTGTGTGAAGGGGAAATACACTGAGGATCTGACCCAGTGTGGGCAATCGGGACTGGCTTCCTGGAGGAGGTGCCATTTAAGCTGAATCTAAAAGGATGAGTAGAGCCTTGGCAAAATAAAGGTGGGCGAGGAGTGCAAGGGGCAGGAGAACACTTAACTCCCAGAGTCTAGATTTTCCTACTGACAAATTAGAGCCAGAGAGACCTGCCCAGTGCTCCTCATGACACCCTGGGCAGATGGAATGGAACAAGGGCCTGCAAAGGGTTTTGGGAAATGGAAGCACAGTGTCTGTGTGTGTGTAGGGGGGGGGTGGGACGGGGGCGCACAGGGGTGGTTGAAGGCTCATGGGGATTCACCCTGACCTCTAGGGAGGTCTTGACTGCCATCTGGGGTAGCTGCATTCTGCAGGAACCAATGAATTTGCCCACATAACCATCTCCATGGTCGGGTCCACCAATCTGCTCATACCTGTGCCGGCCTGGTGTAACAGGTGAACGGAGGTGAAGACAGGGCGTGAGAGGGTGGGTGTGCAGGCGGCCAGCTGGTGGGACTGTCGCCCACACTGTACCCCCCTCCCCACTTAGGAGGCCCCTGAGCAGCAGACCCGGAGACAAGGATTCTGAGTGAGCGGCTTGTTTGTGAGGGTGTCCGGGCAGCTGGGAGGGGGTGGAGAACGAGCAGGAAGGGAAGGTGCCCACACGGGTGCATCCTGCAGGTCATCCTTGGTGGAACGTGTAGCGACATATTATTCATGTCTCGCTTTCCTAGGTTACTGCCTGCCTCCCCGCCTTACTTGCACCTCTGGGTCACGGCTCCTCGCATCACGCCAGGCTCCTAGAGGTGTTCAAGTACAAACCCTCCGAAGGAATAAATTATTGCCAATTTCAAGCAGGGAGTTCTGGGTTCCGAGGCTCAGAACTAGAAAGGCCTTTGACAGGGACCTGCCCAAGGTGTGCCACACCTGCACGCCCCCGCCCCCCGCAGGGACAGAAGCCCTGCCGCCCCGGGACGCCCATCCCCCCGGAACCCCACCAGCGGAGGAAAGCTCTGGGAGTCCCGGCAGCCTCTCCCCTCCGCTGCCCAGGAAACAAGGGCTCTCTGCCAATTCCTGCTCATCTTCTCAGCCTCCTCTCCCCTCTCCCCAGCTGAAGAGGAAGTGGCTGAGACAGCTGTGGAGCTGGGACTCTCTCTAGTTGATATGCATTAATTTGTAAATATCTTCATTTATATGTAAATGTGGAGTCCCGGGCGCACCCCACCACCAGCCCTAATGGGGCCCTGCAGCCTCAAGAAGCTGCCTCTTCCAGCGAGGCCGCCCCTGGGGCTGGTGGAATCGGATTAGACTCCGGAGGGTGGGAGGGTCTGCTCCTTTTTTCCTTTCCGTCCAGGCCTCACCCCCCCACCCCCACCCCCAGGCTGTCCACTGGAGCCCAGGCGCAGGGAGTGAGCACAGGAGGGCGGGGCTCTGCTGTGCTGGTGTTCTGGCCACCCTGGAGACCATACCTGCGGCAGGGGTGGGGCACTAGGAATGATGGATAGGCTGGGGTCCTGGGTGGGGGTTGGGGGTCTTAGAGACCACGGTCACCACGCAGGGGTGGGGCGGCAGGGGCGGGCTCTGGGAAGCTTGGGGGTGATTCAAATGTTCACTTGACATAAACTCATCTGTGGGTCCCAGAATAGTTATTTTCTTCTCCAAAATGAGTGTCTGCCTCCGTTTTCATCTTGATGGCCACAGGCTGGTCTTGGGGGTGCTTTAATGTTTTAAGGCGCCCCAAGTCCTCGTTGGAAGCGGGTGCAGGAGAAATCATAAATATACCAGTGAGGGCACCGGTGTGGCCACGTGCCCCCAGGCCCCTCAGAGCCCCTTTGCACCCACATTCTCACCAGATTCCCCAGCAGGCGGCGGGGTCTGCCTCCTGGCACAAAGCCAGAGAGGAGGGGACCCAGCAAGGCCCTCCAGAAGCACACCCACCTCCAGGGAGGGGCCACCTCCCTGAGTCCCTGTGCCGGGTGGAGGTACCCTTTAAAATCCTCTCATCCCATTTCCTCATTTTATGCATGGGTACACTGAGGCCCAAGGGGCCAAGGAGCAAACCCAGGATCATCCAGTGGATTTGCAAATTTCCTTGTGCACCTACTGTGCGTCAGGCCTTGTGTGGGAGCTGAGGGTACAAGGTTAAGGGGCGAAGGGGCACCGGCTCCGTCTCCTGGTGCTCATGGTCCCAGAAAGGAGAAGCAACCCAGGTGTGGAGAGTGGAGGGTCAGGCATCAGGCACAGAGTGGGAGTGTAAGAGGCCCCCCAGGAAGCACAGTGCACCCCCTGTGTGTGCGGCAGCATCTCCCCAGTGTGGCCCAGTGTGGCCCAGTCAGATTGAGACTGCGCTTTCTCCACCAGGCAAAGCAGCTGGCTGTGTGAAAGGGCATGCGTGTGTGTGTGTGTGTGTGTGTGTGTGTGTGTGTGTGAAGTTGTGCGCATTCAGCGCCCGTGTGAAGCTACCGTTCATTAATGTGGTGAGGTCTCCTTCTTGTGGGGGGCAGGTCCTGGAGGGGTGGCAGCCATAGGCTTTGGGGGAGATCAGTTCTGCTGGGGTGAAGGGGGTCTAGAGAAGGCGTCCACAGAGGAACCTGGGTTGGGTTCTGAAGGCGGATGAGGAGTTGCCCAGGTGACCACAGGGACAGGCTCTCTGGGAAGAGGGCCCAGTGCGTGTGAAGGTCAGAGGGATAAAGGGGTCGGGGCCTTTTAGGGAGTGGGTGGGGGGACGTGGCAGGGCCTGGCAGGGAATCAGCTCCCTTAAAGTCTTCTGGAAAAGGAGGAGAAGAATTAAGTCTCTCCATCCCCGAGGCCTCTTCTCTGCCCATCCTGCCTCCGCTTCTGACCTGGGCCCCGCTATGTAGGATCTGTATTCCTTGCCACGTTTGGGGCCCATGGGCTCTGAGCCAGGCAGAGCTGGTTCCCACCGCAGCTCTGGCATTCCTGGCTGTGTGACGTTAGGCACACGGCTCACCCTCTCTGGACCTCAGTGTCCGCGCTTGGAAACAGGGCTTGGAAAGCCCGCCTTGCAGGACTTGGGAGGGGCTGGCTGTCAGGGGTCTGCTCCGTGTGGCAGGGGTCGGACTTGACCCCTTCTTGCTTCTTCCCTCCAGAAATGGGTCCCACTTCTGAGCAGTCTTACTCTGCCTTCCGAGCCCATGGAGGGTGGTCCTGAGACCCCCTAAGAACCTTGTGCGAAGGATGTAAAAGGGGTGGAGAGCTGGCCCTCCCGGTCCCCGACCCCTGCCCCTCACCTCACGGTGGACTGGTACACCAGGTCCTCCCTCTTGCGGTAGTTTTCCATGTGCGAGTAGTTGGTGGAGAACATGGCGTCGAAGGTAAAGATCTTCTGCTTGATGGTGCCGCCATCCATCACCTGCAACAGAGCACAGAGGCAGCCACAGGTGAGCGTGCAGCCAGCGCTGGCCACCCTTTCCTCCAGGCAGCAGTGGGCTCCGGGCACTGGGGAGATGCAGAAGCCAGGGAGCCCACCGCCCTGGGTTCCCGTCGCAGCTGTCACTGGAACCGCCCAGGTCATCCCCGTTTTATTGATGTGCAGACTGAGGCTCTGCAGTGCAGCGGCTTCCGGAGGTCCTACAGCTGAGAAGCAGCAGAGCTGGCCCTTCTCTCGCCCTCTTTCCACCGCGCCAGGGGCTCCACTTCTGTGGCCCCCTGGTCAGCCTGGCACACAGAGCTGCACACACAGTCAGCATGTGTGAATGCGTTCTGCAGAGTCAGCCGCAGAGTCACGGCTTGATCCCAATGCCATCCCCGCCTGAGAAGAGACAGAA